CATACATAGCACATGTGTGTGTGGAAGGGGGCTACCTGCTCCGTCGGGCGTGATGGTGCCCAGCTTGACAGCCAGCGGGTAGCCTGACTCCCTGTAGTGCTCCACAGCATGGTTGTTGCCCCCACTGCCGTCGAAGTAGCGGCGGCCGCACAGGATGGAGCCATCGGTCAGGTTGAGCCACAGGTTCTCCTTCATGTCGCACTTGGAGCACTTCCAGCCACTGCCCAAAGAGGTGAGTGGGGAGGGAGGCTGGGGGTGATGCGTGTGGCCAGGAAAGGGGGCTCTCACCTGCCCCAAGAGCCCTCCCACCTGCTCTCCTCTGGAGGGGGCCCTGCTTTGTCAGTCTCCTTCTCAGTCCTGCCCTTGGCAAACCCGCTCTCCCACCAGATCCCCAGCAAAAGGTGGCTCTTTGTCTTTGCCCTGACAGTGGTGCCCCAAGGTGTAAGGGCCAGGCCTCACCAGGGCGGGATTCGAGCAGGGTTGTCCAGCTGCTTGAGGTTGAAGGCGTGCTTAGACACCTGCCGCACTTCCCCATCCCAGGCCTGCACCTCCTGCTTGCGGGAGGCAGAGTCGGCCCGCAGCAGGGCATCTATGGCACTGGTCACCTGTGGAGGGGGACGTAGCGGGTCAGAGACAGCACCCAGTTCTGTGCACCTCCCTCCCCACCGTGCTCTTCAGCTCTGGTGATGCTCACCCAGTACCTCACTACTCTGAGCACCCCTGCCCTGGCCCCACCATCTCTGCTGCTGGGGCGGGAAGGGTCTCCTACCCGCTCTCTGACCCGGTCCGGCAGTCCTCCCAGTCCCTCCCGGGCAATCTCCAGGTAATCAGGCAAAATGATAATCTTCACATCCTCTTCGTATTCAAGCTTTTCCTCCATGAGGTCAAACCCACCTTCCATACCTGGCAGGACAGGGAGGAAGAGGAAGAGTAGGACAGCCGCCACAGGTCAATGCCCCCTCTTTATCCCCTCCTGAGCTCTAGGACCCTGTGCGGGGGTTTCCCTGATGCCGCCGAGAGGGGGAGGGAAGGCCAGCTCACAGGAGAGAACAAATGTCCATGCTGCTCACCAATAGCCAGTCTGGTAGGTTTCTTCCGGGGAGGGTCTCCGGTGCCTGTGGTGGTGTCCTCCTCTTTCTGCAAGGGGGTAAGAAGAGCAGGCTCATTAAGGGCACCTGATGCCAGGGAAGGGAAGACTCCGAGGATGGATGGTGGGGGACTAGGAAGAGGTTGCAGCAGACAAAGATACTGAGCCAAGTGTGTGTGTGAGTGAAGTAAATCTCTATGTAACAGTTAAGCTCAACGGTTGGGTAGAAATTGGTAGACCCTGTCCCGTCCTCCCAACTACTGCCCTTAGTCACCCCCATCTCACCCCCAAGCCTGAACTGAGCTCATCCCCTTGACCCAACTTTCAGCCACGCAGCAGATGGGGCTACCAGGTGACCAATCACACCAGGGGAGTCCCGCCTCCTTGGAACCATCAACCGTGTGAGCTCAAAGGACAGCATTTTCCCAGGGATAAAGCTCTGAAGGGAGGAGGGAGGAGGGGAGGAGAAAGGAGACGAGCAACACAGGAGGAAGGGACATGACACATGGGCTGGGAGACTGTGGAGGTTGCCAGCAGTGTCACAAAATGCAACGAGCCACAACTGTTGGGCAGAAAACCAAATACCAAGTATAGGAACAAGTCACAAAACATTGCCATTCCAATATCTTCCTGTGTGTGGTTAAGTGACATTAACTCCGTTCACCATGTTCAATCCAGGTTTTCAAGACACACAAAAGTAGATAAAAAAGAGGACCCGAAGCCAGTGGGTAAGAAGGGCAGAGGTTGTAAAGCAGTGCTTTGTGGGGTGTGTCTGCGCCACCCTCTGCCCTGTCCTTACCGGGCGCCGGGTCCGTCGGAGGTGCAGGTAGACTCGATGGCCCGTCTTGTTGTAGTGTCTCTCCACATATTGTTTCCCGAAGCCGAGGAAGGTGCTCATGCAGATGTACAGGCCCCCCTCAGACTCCTGCAGTGCAAGATACACAGGCGGATCAAGTCTGGCCAGGTAGGGAAGTCAGAGACCTGGAGCTAAAACTCCTGGCTTCCAGAAGGTAGGTTCTGTTTTCTAACACCGTGTGGCCCTTAGCAAGTTGGTTATCCCTCTGTGACTGTTACCTGGCTTAGATTCTCCCCATCCCCTTTGATGACTTTGATAAGAACCAAAAAGGCCATCAGAGGGCTAGCTAACATCTGAGTCACCATTCATCCTTTTTGTTCCTTTGGACACTGGTCCCCTCTAGTCAATCCCAGAGAACTCACTTCCCACTCCTCTTTCCAGAGTCAAGAGATCCCGAAAGTAAATGGCAATCAACCATGTGTACTGCGAGCACCAGGGATGACATTCAGAGGGGAAAGGGTCCTTTCTTAGGAGAGAAAAGATGTTCATGTCAGACAGTGGAGCAGTTAGGGACACCCAAGACAAACAGGACCTGCCCTCTAGGATAGGGGAGCAGATTGCAGCACCAGAATAGAGCTTGTAACCCTTGTGCTTGCCAGCAAGCACAGACCTTTCCTATACCACATTCTTCTTGGGGGGTCAAACGGGGCCACCCTGTGAACCCTCCACCTCCTCTCCCACTGAAGCCTGATCAATAACTACGATCCCCACCAAAGTGCCATCTAGTTACCTCTAACCTCAAGGTCACCTTCTTCCCAAAACAATCTAGCATCATTAATGAGGCAATTGGAACGAGTACAAGCCAGTAAGAAGACCAGGAAAGACAAAAGGTCTGAAGAGGGAGGGTGGGCTTCCTCCCAAGGCTGAAAAAGCTCACATAGGAGCCTTTGTAGTAAACAGAGGGAGAAGGTGGAGGAGGAAATTGGAGACAATAACAGTCTTCCCAGAAAGTCAAGGCTTTGAGTAACAATAGGCATCTTCTTCCCAGAATAAAAGGCTCAGTGGCCTTGAAAATCTCCCTGCAGTGAAGTGAAAACTAGGACGATGCGGAGCCAGTCCTGATCCCAGATTGCTCTGCGCCACTCCCTAGAACAGCATGGGCTGCAAGGTTCACAGGCAAACAGTGCACTTCCCACCACCCGGGAAGTCACCCACGGGCCTCTCACCATGAACCGAATGTAAAGATCATCAAACGTGGCAAAAACGGTCAATTAGGCAACTAGGTCACCAGCAGACCTCTTGACTTGGCGTGAGAGAAGGAGAGTGTCAGAAGAGTGTAAAAACTTCTTTTAAAGTAGTCAACGTTGTGACCGAGGAGAGAGGCGGCAGGGAACGGAGTGTAAGGAGGCACCCACCATCTTCTACCATATGCTAGGAATGCAGAAAACCACTTCCCTCCCAAGGAGGAGGGCGCTTGAGAAATCCATGCATTTGAGAATCTGGAGGAATGTGGGAGCTCTGTGGGGATGAAAACTCCTCTGTTGGAACTAAAAGTTGCCGAGGGCACCACAGACGGTATGGCCCCTTGAAGGTCGGCTCGAGAAGTCCTTTTTATCCCTTTGTTGAAGCCCCGATTTCAGAGAAGCAGCACATTGTCTGAGACCCCATGCAAGTCCAGCAAATCGAGCAAGCCCCAAATGACAGCAGGGCTCCTGAACTGGGGCCTTCGGTGGTGCTGCTGTACTCAGCAGTGGTGAAGCTTGAACAAGCCTTCCCCCTCTGACTTGCAGTTTTCCAGCCACGAGCTGGTCCGGCTGAACACCATGGGCAGGGCCCAGTCGTGGTTTGAAGGGAGGGGTGGCAAGGGGGGTGGGGGGCGGGTCCCAGGCTGCTGTCCTCTCTGTGCAGGCTCCGGCCTGGATGGAGCTGCTGCAGGGAGGCACCGGGTGGAGCCTGCAGAACGTGAAGCGCGGTGTGGGTGGCAGTTTTGTCTAACTAGTCAAGAGTGGGAGCCGGGATGGGTAAGACTCCTTAGCACCCACCAAGAAAGGAAACATTTCTCTGGGAATGCCTTCAATGAGGTGTCCCATTTTCTCTGTACTGGGGTGCTGCGAGCAAGGTTCACCTCTCATTATCAATGACCCACCTCCCCGCCCCAGGTCCATATTAACCACGGGTGGTTTCCCTAACGCGGCCTTTCTCTATCCATCGACTTCAACGCCCCTTTCAGACGACTAGCCGCCTAGCAACTGCAGACACCACTACCCCTCCACCTCGGCTCAGAATAGGGGCGGGGGTCGCCCCCATCATGAAACTACAAAACCCAGAGAGCCACGCGCAAGAGCCCAGGGCAGCTCTGAGACTTTCTCAAGGGGCCGCACGGGAGATGTAGTCCGAAGGTCGGGTTGTGCCCTTAGTTGAGGGCGGCGGAGGGGAGTGAGCAACAACAATCCCCACAGTGCTCCGCGAGGGAGGGAGCGGATTTGGAGAGCGCGGTCGCTTCCGGGGATAGTAGTCTGACGACGGGCCCAGAGAATGAAATGCAACGGGGCGGAGGAGCGTGGGAGACTCCAAGTCCCGTGGTGCACCGCGGGGAGGCGGCCGCTCAAGCCTTGCAGGCCCCGGCAGAATGACCAGGGCGAAGGAAGGAAGTCGTGTTCGCTGCGGACGTGGGGAACAAGCTTACCGGGGTGTCGAAGGAGAAGGCGCACTCGTCTTTGTGGACCCGGTCTCCAGGCTTAGGGACGCGGATTGTTGGTAATACTGATATCAGCGCCTCCTCACACAGCTCCGCCATGATACCGGCAGCGGCTCTTCCACACGGCGGCTCCCACCGTTCCCAGTCCCCCACCCCCTTTTCCTCGCGTCCAATGAGCAGTACTGATTAGGCGCATGCGCCGAAGGGAAGCCGCGCGAGAATGGCAGTTGGGCGGGGCCTGACTGCTAGTGCCCCCCCCCCCTTCTGCTCCCACTCCTGACGAAAGCCAATGAAAAGCGCTTCTGACACAATTGATAGTGGAAAGAACCAGTCTCACTTCTCTACGGTCTATGCGTCTGTCGAGCGGCCAGGCGGGACCCCGGGTGTGGGCTGCAATCCCTTCGAGTGCCTTCTATAGGAGAAATTGACAGATATTTAAGCCAATCGGTCCCAGAACCTTTGCTGGGGACTTGTCCAATCAGAAAATACTAAGTGACTAAAAAGCGATTTGCCTTCCTAATATTTGAAAAAGGCCTGCCCCATGAGGCTGAGCTTGGAACGAGTTAGTATCGAGTGATTAATAGCTGCTTCGACCAATAACTATTCCTATCCCACTCGTCTCAAGCGAAACCATCCTAGCTCCATCTCCAACTGGTTTTGAACATAACAGCGTGATCGTTTATGGTTTCTCTCTTGGTTAATAAAATAATTTGTCTTTGAACCTGGAGGTTTCAAAAGCGAAAACTAGCGCTCAAAGTCTCGCGATAAGCCAAGTCTCCGTCCGTTGGTCCCAGGACCCCTCTGATTGACGTGCTTCCAGTCCAATGGTAACGTCCATAGCAAGGGGACGCCAACGTCGGGGTAGCCAATAGGGTCAAGGCAGGGGGCGTGGCGGGAAGTTTGAAACTTAGCTTCGGGAGTTGAGACTCGAGCTCCGGTGGACTCGAGGTGGCACTGGGGCCCGGTAAGTGATTTGAATAAATTAGGGGTCCCAGGAGGCTTAGGATGCACCTCCTGGTCAGCTGCACCAGCCATTAAGCCCCGCAAGTAGCTCTTGCACAGCGGCCGGGAGGTTCCTCCCTTGGACACTGGGAAGATCGGGTTGTCCTGGGTCAAATGCGGGCCCGATCCTGGTAAGAGCTGAGACCTGAGTCGCTTCTCGCAGGCCTCCCTTCCTCTTTTCGAGCCGGGCCCTGCCCCAGCCCGCTTTCCTGGTGGACATGGGCTTGGCCAAGAGCGTCCCGGTCACCCCAGCGCGGTCTCCGCCGCACAACAAGCTCCTGGCTCGAGTGGCGGACCCGCGTTCTCCGAGTGCGGGGATCCAGCGCACACCCATCCAGGTATACTGCGGGGCGGGGAAGGGGAGGCGAGGAGCAAGTGGTTGCGCCCCCGCCGCACTTGGCCCTGAGTGGACCCTAACTCTCGCCACCATTCCCACTTCGGGGCTTTCTTTTGCACCTTCTCAGCCTGTGTGGGGTAGGTGCGAGGACTTTGCAAACTCTCCCTGGAATGTCTGCCCGAGGCCAAGGGCCTGGGGAGAGGAGAGTCCCAAGCCAAACTTGGCCTGCTTGTGGTCGTCACAGGTGGAGAGCTCTGCAGAGCCAAGCCTACCATCAGGGAAACAGCAGGAGGGTCCTAACTCCACGCAGGACTGCGATCCGCGCTCACCTACCCTCGGCATTGCACGGACACCTATGAAGACCACCAGCGGTGGGTTCTGGGCCCTGGGTGGTGGGTCTCAGGACTCCTCCAAGAGAATTCTGTTGTCTCCCCAACTCCTCGCCTCATTCATTTCTCCACATTGCCCCCTCTCCCCTGATTTCCCTCTTCCAATTCCCTCACCCACCTGGGCAGGAATGCCACAACTCCTGTGTTCTTTTCAGCTGGTTGAGGGATCTGTGGCAGCGGGTCAAATGTGTCCCACCTCACGTATCTCCTTTAGAGCCTCCGAGCCCACTGGTGAAGCAGCTGAGTGAAGTATTTGACACCGAAGCTCCCCAGTCAAGTCTTTCCCCAGAGCCTGTTCTGCCCCCAGAGCCACCTTCATCTCCCAAATTAGACTTACCTCTGGGCACCCAGGTCTCGAGAGACGATCTGATACCGCCTCTGAGCCAAACAGAGCTCCCCTCCAAAGAGGTGTTTTCCACAGAGGAAGCAGGCCAGCCTCCAGAGAGCCTGATGGCCAGCCAGGGCTCAGAGAAGCCCTTGAGAGAGCCTGAGACGCCTCAATCTTCAGGTACAGAATCTTAAGGACAAGGTGTCCATCAGAGACACCAGGAGAATGTGCTATGCTAATGTGAAAGGAGTCAAGTGGAAGCCACTAATGGGGGTCCTTGCTTTAACTCCCAACCCACGCTAGGTTCTAAATGCACCCGACGGAAACCCAAGGGCAAGGGCATAGGGCGATCCCCTCTCACTATCCTTCAGGATGACAACTCCCCTGGGACCCTGACACCACGGCAGGTAAAGGGAGAGGGGGCCATGGTGAAGCAATCCAGTCCAGGGAGTGGGGGACCCTTTTACTCGGATCTTCCCACTCGCACACTCTCCTTTCAGGGAAAGCGGCCTTCTCCCCTGAGTGGAAACGTTAGGGAACTCAAAGAGGGGCCCCGCCTCGGAACTAGGCGACTAATGAAAACCAGAGGGCAAGCGTGGGAGCCAAGCCAGGGCCATGACAAGGAAAACCAGCACTTTGCCCTGGTGGAGAGCTAGGCCCTGCGTGACCCCAGTACTGGAATCACCCGGAGCTTCGTGATGTTGCCTTTCTCTGCCGAACTCAGAAGTAGTGTGGTTGGTTGGTTTTTTTCTGACTCTTCTACACCCCTCGGTTGGGCTTCCTTTGAGAGCGTGATCGGACCTTTGTTGTTAATGTTTCTTGTATATTAAAGGAAGTAATTTAAAATGTTTTTTTAAGTGTTATACCTAAACCTTGTGCTGGGTCTTCTGGGTAGAAAACACCAGCCAGAAGAGCCTGTGCTCCCCGGTGTGAAGGTTCCCTGCAGCTTCTCTCCCTCCTTGACCTGTCCCCTTGCTCTCTCCAGGCATTCATCCCCATACATTCTGATGATTCCCAGGTCTCTCTAACCATGACCCTTTATCCAATTACTCACTGCCATCAGCGGCTTCTGACTCAGTGATCCTTCAGACAGGGTAGACCTGTCCCCTGTGGATTCCCAAGACTGTAACTTTTTTTTTTTGGGCGGGGGGGCAGGAGGCCTGTAACTCTTTACAGGAGTAAAAAGCCCATCTTTCTCCCATGGAGCAGCGGGTGGTTTCAAACTGCTTGCCTTGTGGATCCCGGCCAAATGCATAACCATTGCACCACCAGGCCTTCTACCAGCCAGCTCCAGTTGGTCTAAAATTAAATTTATCATCTCCCGCCAGCAGCTGTTGCTCATCTCCTGTTCCAATATGCAAGAGCATCGGTCATCCATTTATTCAATTCCAAACCTTGGCCACCATTTGCAAGCCTTTCCTCAGAATGCCCCACATCCTAGCACTTGATCAATAATTTTCTATCTAGAATCTCATTCCCATTCTTCTCCCTTGCCCTACCTCTGTCCCCATCACTCTTGTGATTTTACCACCTGCAGCCTACCTGGGCTCCAGACACCCCTCCCTCTAATTCAACCCACACAGCTGGTAAGGCTGTCTTTGTGAAAAGTTGAGCCTTTGTGACTGGCATAGCACGACTCTGCTCAAGACTCTTCAGTGGCTTCTGGCACTTAAGAGCCTTTTATAACCTTACTCCTGTTCAACGGCAATCCACACACACACACCGCAGGCAGGCTGTTGGAGAACCCACTCCCCCACCTCCAGGTGAATACCTTCTGCCCCTGATTCATCTCAGACTCCACCCCTACCCCACCCTACCCCCAGTTCGCCGCATGTCTTCTCATCTTTCCCAAGTACCAGCCTTTATCACTGCACCTGCAATGCTTTGCTGCATCGCGTTGCCTGTTGGCTCCTTGAGGCCCAAGCACAATGTCGCCTGATAGACACTTAACAGTTTTTGATTCAGTGACAGAGTGGCGCCTGGGATCTGAACTTGTGCTAGAAACCAAGTCCATTTCTTCTTGCCCGCCTGTGACTTTGCTGCTCTTGAGAATTACTTTGCTAAAGCCATTACCCTTGCACCCAACCCTGTTACTTAGCCCTGTCCTGTCTTGACTAGGCTTTCCCTGCAGATAAGCACCTCTAATTAATTGTGACTCCAGCTCCCTCCACCAGGCGTCTCCTCCAGGGAGACCAGGACTGCAGTGGGGTCCCACAGAGTTCTAGTTCCAAACCTCTTGCATCAGTGGAAAGGGGAGCCTTTGGTTCTCTGAGCTTTACTGGTGAAAAGGACAAGGCTGCCTTCCATGGGTGAAGAAGTGAGATTCAGGTGTTTGGGGACTTAAACCAGGATAGAGCCAAGCATAAGGAGCCCTGTTGGTGCCATGGGTTAAGCATTGAGCTGGTAACCAAAAGGTCAGTGGTTCAAACCCACCAGACACTCCACTAGAGGAAAATAAAGGCTGTGTGCTCCTGTGATGACTTACAGTCTCAGAAACCTTCCGGTACAGTTCTGTCCCATAGGGTTGTTGGTGGCATAATGGTTACTTGTTGGGCTGTGATCAGCAAGGTCAGCAGTTTGAAACCACCAGCTGCTCCAAGGGAGCAAGATGAGGCTCTATAGCTTTACAGTCTCAGAAACCCACAGGGGCAGTTGTGTCCTGTCCTATAGGGTCGCCATGAGTTGAAACGGACTGTTTGTTTTTTGGTACGGGGTTGCCATGAGTTAGAACTGACAGTGTGTGTGTGTGTTTTGGTACAGGGTTGCCATGAGTTAGAACTGACAGTTTGCTTATGTTTTTGGTATGGGGTCCCCATGAGTTAGAACTGACAGTTTGTGTGTGTGTTTTGGTACGGGGTTGCCATGAGTTAGAACTGACAGTTTGCTTATGTTTTTGGTATGGGGTCCCCACGAGTTGAAATGAACTGTTTCGTGTTTTTGTTTGTTTGTGTGTGTGTTTTGGTATGGGGTCGCCATGAGTTGGAACTGACTCCATGGCCGAAGGTTTCCGTTTGGTTTGAAGCCAAACACAGACATAGCATGGCGCTACACTTTATTACAGGTGCTTTAGGAGAGAACACAGGACAGTAGGAAAAGGGGACCAGGTCCCCAGCGGCACCCGAGCGATGTCACAAGGTCAGAGCTAGGGTCCAGATTGAGCCACCTGAACCACCCAGGTCAGAGCATTGGTAGTGGCCGTGGGGAAAGAGCTCGGACTTGGAGACTCTAATGGACCTGGCAGGGCTGGAGCAGGAGAGGGTCCGTTGTCCTTGCTCAGTAAGGGGGAGGCTGTGGGACTATGAGGAGGGGGAGACCAAGGGAGAAGACACCACCTCTGTCTTGATGCTGTCTCTCAGGGGCACACTCCTCAAACCCCCCTGTGGGCCAGACAGAACGCTTGGTGGGAAAAGCAGCCAGAATATAGAAGAGGAACCTCAAGGAGATGCAGCTGGGGGTCTCCATGGCCTTCTGCCTCCCTCGCCTGCAACCTCCTCAGTTCCAGACCTTGAGGAAGCTGTCCCAGGAACCTGTGGCCATCGCCATCCCATCCGCCGTGATCCCCAGGCAGCTGACCCTGTTGTCATGGCCAGACAGGATGCCTGAAGAAGAAGGTCAGGGTTAGCCTGCCTCCTCGCATGGCTGTGGGAGAAAACGTGTGTGTGTGTGCACATACAGGGGTCATCGGTTAGCAGGCTAGTTATCGGACTTTTAGCCCCTGGAGAAGACTGAAGAGGGTTACTCTAAGTAAGAAGGGGGTTTCTCTTGAGGTCAACCCCTCAAGTCTGCGATGGTGCCGGGTGTGCAATGAGGAAGACAAGGGCGGGGGTTACTCCCATATGTGGATGGGTCCTGGGAAACAGGGAAGGCCCTTCAGTCCCACTCCTTGTTTGCAGATGAAAAAACAGACCCAGGCATTCAGGAAGTAAGCAGCAGAATTAGGGTTGAGATTCAAACTCTGGGACCAGTGTTGTCACTCGGCACTGGTCGTCCCCGCCTTCCGAGCAGCAGCCACGCTCATGCTGGGCCCAGTCATGGCCCCAGGTTGGGGTCAGGGCCCTCAGGTCTTCCCCGAACGCCTTGATTCTCCCCCACACTTCCATGAGAACACCCTTGGTCTGGAACCTCAAGAACCCAGAAGTGACTGGACAGAGGGGCTGACTCCTGGCACCCATGGGGCCCAAGAGCAACTTTTCTCTGAGGGAAGATGGTCATAGATGGGGAGCTGCGGGCGCTGGGTCCTTGGGCTGGGTCTCAGAGCTACCCACTAATTGAGGCGCAGCAGTGAGTGGGTCCCAACAAGGGGCGCTGGTGTGAGGACAGAGAGGGGTGGCAGGAGGTGGCAGCCTCACCCACGCGCTCGCTCTTCATGGAGTCCCAGACATTGCAGTTGAAGTCGTCGTAGCCTGCGAAGAGCAGGCGGCCGCTGAGCGAGAAGGCCACGGAGGTGATGCCACAGATGATGCTCTCGTGGGCATAGGCCGTCAGCTCCTGGTCCGCCCGCAGGTCAAAGAGGCGGCAAGAGGCGTCGTCCGAGCCCGTGCAGATGGCCTCTCCGTTGGGGAAAAACTGATAGTGCAGGGGGGTGGTCAGGACTCCAGCCTGGGGAAGCCACCACCTGTCCTGCCCTGTCTGGAACCTGGCTCAGACACCACCACCACCACCCTGCCGCCTATCCCTTCCCCAGCACTGGCTGAAAAGGAGCCAGCACACCACACTGTGTTCACAACCAACATTCTTCCCAGGCGCCATTTCCACGTGGCCAGTGAGTGCAGCCGGCGCCGCTCAAGGGGGACCCCAGGGTCAGGGAAAGATGCCACTGTCTTGTCATGATCAACCAGTTCACTCGGACTGAGAACAAGCCTACTTCAGAATGGCAGGGCAGGGGCTCAGCTTAATGTGGATCCACGGGAGGAAAATGGGATGCATGTTCCTGAAGAGGACCATGCACAGGGGGAAACAATAAGGCAATGAGGGCCTTGTTGCAATACTAAGTGAGATCTGAATATATATTGTA